TTATAAAATGACTAGTTTTAAACATTATAATATCTTTTCTCGTAACGTTCAATCTGGAGGCTAAATTATGAAGCCATTTAATTTTTTCATTTTTATTCTAGAATGTTTTTTTCCAAATCCACAAAGGAAAAACAATTGGAAGAACAATTGACTAAGATGAATCAAGAATTTAAAGAATATAAAAAATATTCTGGACTTTTAATAACATCTTGTGAAAAGAAAAATGCTGACCTTGTAAAAGAAAATTCTCAAATTAAAGAAGCGGAATCGGCCGTCAGCGTTTAAATCTGAACAAATTGCCGCAATTAATGAGTTATACGTTGAGGGCAACAAATGGACAATAGAAGACTTCAAGAACTTACTTGAAAACCATGGAATGGAGGTGGAATTGGAATGGATTCTTTATGATGGAAAGGTAAAAAGTGGAATTTTATTCTTAAAGAAAAAATAATTTTTATCTAGAAAATTACAAATAGTAGCTATTTAAAGGGATGAAGTGTTAATTAAAAAAAGCTGATTTTAAAGCCTTATCTACATGCAGAATTTGTTTCGTGGTGACCGAGCGAAACCTGACCAGCTGTCGACAACAATATTTGGAAGGAAATTGATTTTTGAATTTTTTAAATTTTTTTCTTTAACAAAATTATCAAAAATAGTATTTTTATGGAAATATTAAATTAAATTTTTTACAAAATTCTTTTAAAAATTAAATTAAAGTATGCACACTTGGATCAGGGCTGTGCGTCATGGCATTTTGCGTTTTGGAGTCCATTTTAGGCCGATTTTTGGTGTTTGGGTTGATTTTCATTTTTTGGCTCGCCAAACGCCAAAATTATACACCCCTAATGATGGAAATTTTTTAAAATAATTGGGAGAAGGGATGATCGATAAAGAAAATTTTTCTGCATACAGTCATCCAAAATTCTCCAAATTTTCGCCTGCGGCGCATAAAAAATGAAGATATCTACTGTTTGGACTATCAAAATTTTCGCCTGTGGTGCTTAAAGGAGGATGCACTTTCTAAAACTAATACTTCTGCCGTGGTAGAAAAAACTTTAGCTCCATAATTTGGTCTGCTACCCGTATTCAGGTATGATTTTCTGCCAGAAGAGGGTCCACTATAGTGTATGGTTGCCGGGTCCAGATATCTGGATCTGAAAAAGTCCGGATAGCCGAAAATTTTAGGTCGGATATCGGATCATCTTGATATCCGAAGATTTCCAACTATCCTACATCTTCTATAGTGAGGTTCGGCTGTAGTTTTTCATAATTATTAATGATAGTGACGGCGCAAAAGTCGTCCGGGGCAAAAGTCGCGGCAAATGTTCACGGCGCAAAAGTCACGGAACCGTACAAGAATATCTAGACCAATTATTTAAACAAATTAATTTTTGTTTAAATGTTTAGTCTTTCAATATTGAAGTAAAGAATATTTATAATTTAGATACCTTTACTTGAAAGCATTAAGGCGCCTGATATTTAAAATCAAAAAATGATGTTCATAATTAAGCATTAATTCTGGAACCATTGCTAAAGTCTTTACTATAATTAATTTAATTTCACGCCGTAAACGACGAATTCTCACTCCTTTGTGTTCCATTTGATGAAAAACAGTAGAAAGTAGTCTTTCACTTCCTTTTTAAATTAGAAAAAATTTTTTGTTAATCTTTTCCCGGAAAGAAAATGAATGAAATATGAAAATTTGTTAAAAATTCCCCATTTTCACTCTATTATAAAGAAAAACCTTTAAGTTGTTCTTTTAATGTTTAATGCTAATATAAACATTATTTGCTTCATTTAAAGAATAATTAGTTAAATGTGCATAAAGATTAGAAATATTTTCTTTTGTTGGCATTCTCGGATATTTTTCAGTACAAAAACGAGCCATTTCTTTAAAATAAGAAAACATTTTTCTTTAATTCTTTTTCACCTTCTCTGGCTACATAAATTGATAAAGATTAAGGCTTCGAATAACTGCATAAACACGTAAATCAAATTTCAATCCATCAGAAAGTAGATAGGGATCAGGTATATATTCTCTTGAATAAGTTGGCGATTATAATGTGTTTGTAATGATTCCGATGGTGAACTAATTAAATAAATTCCAGTTCCTTGAGCACCTTAAATGTTATTTAAATAATATTGAGGGCTATCTCTTTATCATTTTTCTACTACCATCATCTGGTTTAACAATAAAACATTTATTATTTGTTTCCTCAAAAGTTAAGTGTTACTTTCCTTGCAAGTTCAGTCATTCCTATTTTTAAAAAATATTTTTGGACTTAAAAAAATTAAAAATTTGCCTGGAAATTTATTTACTCGAGCACCAAATTTAACAACAGGATTCATATCAGGAAAGACAATAGTACTATGCCAATAAATATTAGAAGGATGCCCATCGTCTCTAGACTCTGTAAATTCCTTCAACCCTAATTGACGGACACAAAAAGTAACAACTTGGGCGTTACTGAAAATATTAAATTTTTAGGTAAAGTTCTATCTGAGGTCCCAAATTTTAAACCGTATTAAATGCGGCAAAAATGGTTCTAATAGTTTAGTAATGGCATAAAAAGATTGTTTCAGGAGCGCGCTTGACATTTGGAGGTAAATATCTATGATTTTTAGATCAGCGAAGTCAGAGAACACGAATTCGACCAAGGCAAACATGGGGTAAAAATTCAAAATTTCAAATTTTATGTCTAATCGGACTTGTCTCATCGAGCTGAGTCGATTGGTATCAAAATTATTACGTTTCGACATCTTTAGACTAAGTTATGGTGTCTTTTTTATATACGGAATTTTGATATTCGAATTCCTACACTGAATTCGACTTGGTCGAATTCGGTCGAATTCGACTTAGCCGAATTCGGTCCGGGGTTCGAAATAAACAAATCTAAGCACAGATTCGGACTCAGCAAGCTCGATTAGCTATTGGCATGTATCAAAAATGTCGAACTTGCACTTTTTCCTTATTTTTTCTAGGGACCAGTAAAGCTGAAGATTACATAAAAATCAAAGATATTCATATCCAAATGTCAAGCACGCCCCCGAAACAATCTTTTTATGCCATAACTAAACTATTAGAACCATTTTTGCCGCATTTAATATGGTTTAAAATTTAGAACCTCAAATAGAACTTTTCCAATTTTTATTTATTTTTATTAAAAGATCACCACCATCTTTTTGCACGAGATGTTCAATACCTAATCTATCAAGAGATTTTCCATGTGAAGAGGGTTAAGTTATCACTTGGGGAGAGAACCCAGCAAATATTAATTTATTTAATCAACATAAATATTCTCTCTATTTTTCGAAAAAATGCTTATCTAGTTTATAAATTAGTTGAAATAGTAAAGAAATTAAGTATAAAATATTTAAAATCATTCGAGCAAATGCGGCGCAGAAAAATGAAGAATCTGATGGTAGAAGGACGGTGGCTTTACAGGGATTCAGGTAGGCTTCGAGGGATATAGGGGGTTTTGAGGTATACCTATCTGGGAGATCAAGTTATTTGGGAGGTCATCAATCATGGGATTTAATAGGGATTTCTATTTAGGTAGACTTAACTACCTTAATTCCTGTAAATCCATTCGTTAACTTTGCCAAATCCCTTTAATCCCTTTACATCCCTTTAATTAACTGTTATTATTTTAATCTATTTAAATACACCATAATCATTGCAAATTTAACGATATCCCTCTTAATCCCCCTACCATTCCGAAAAATTTGGCTACTTGAATTTGGCTACTTGATCAAAAATTTGGCTAATTGTATGCTCTCAAATCTCTTGATATTCCTGATGCGGTCAAAATCCTATTGTAAGACTCAGTTGAGGCTTTGATTTGCAACAAAGCACTGAGTTGACATATCTCTAGAGATTTCCCATCATACAGGAAAAATATTAAGAATTTCGCATTTCGCGGATTTTCGCCTTTTTTGGACTTTCGCTTTTCGCGTGTCGCTTTTTTTAAATGATTTTCGCTTTTCGCGTTTCGCTTTTTAAATTTAATTTCGCTTTTCGCGTTTTAAAATCCGTTTCGGCACATCCCTGGTACATATGTATTATAAAGAAAAATAAAGTAATTTTAATTATTAAAGTCAAAAAATAAATTGTATTTTTTAAATTTATTTCCGCATTTATTATAGCGACAGTCAAAAAAATGAAAAAGTAGAAAAATAATAATAAAGTCAAATAAATAATCATAATAATAAAGTAAATAATAATAAGGTCTAGCAAGAATCGAATCAAAAGGTTCACTTGGAAAACGAGAAAGATACTTGGGATGGGGGGAGGGGGAGAGAGGTGGTGGGGAGAGGGCAGGTGGTGGAGAGATGGAGGTGGTGGGGAGAGGGTAGGTGGTGGAGAGATGGAGGTGGTGGGGAGATGGTAGGTGGTGGGGAGATGGAGGTGGTGGGGAGATGGTAGGTGGTGGAGAGAGAGGTGGTGGAGAGAGGGTAGGTGATGGGGAGAGAGGTGGTGGGGAGAGACCGAAAAGCCCACTACTAGTACACAAACCGCTGCTATTTTGAGGATTCCAAGTGAACCTTTTGATACGATTTTAAATTTTTAAATAAACAAAAAACTCCAAAAAACATCCATAATCATTTTAATTTTTATTCATCTCATCCTGTCAAGCAAATAGGTTTTTTATTTCCAATTCAGCTTTTAGAATATTTGCACTTGGTGACATGCAGCTGGCCTGAATACAAATAAAAATAAATGAACAAATATAGCAGGGAGTTTCTCCAGCGAAAATTCAATTGATCATAACTTTGTTCAGAATTATCAAACCCAGCTGATAATTTGACCATAAAAAATTCTGGGTCGTGGGTTCGAAACCACGCGGTAAGATATATTTTTCAATCTAAAAAACACCTTAATTGCACCTTTTGAGCAATTTTATGGTGTTTTTCAGTTATTTCACATTTTGCTATTAACAAAAATATAATTTTCAATGTATTATTAAGCAAAAGTCACACCCATAAGGGAGTTATTAGTTTTATAATACATACTCAGTTTTTTTAATTTTAATACTTAAATTTAATTTTATACTTACCTCTATGACAACATGCATTTCACTTCCTTCAATACGTACATGGATTTTGCATCCAGTTGTGCGTTCCAGTTGTTTTTGTAAATACCAATTTTGATGAGCCATTCGGTTATAAAATACCTAAATTTTAGATTCATTAAAATTTATATTACATATTATAAGATTATTACTTCCTGACAGTGCTTAGGAACAAAAAGCTTTATTTCCCGATTAATTTCCTTTAATGGTGTAGGGCTAGTTTGATTAATCTTGAATAGTGGCGGTCGTCCGTAGGTTGAATGTGGCTTCTCGTTTTCTAACTGAAATGTAGTTCTTAAAATTTTGGTACTACTCCGTCATCATACAAATTTCTTTTAAGAATAGAAAGGTCCACACCATCTGGTCAACTCCCAGTGTTCGTACTATAAGAATGAGGGGACGGAATTTTAAGTTACTCCCAATGCAGAAAACGCCCGGACAGATTTTGGAAAATTTAGGTACTTCTCGGTATCGATTCTTTTCGCTACTTCCGGTACCGGTACCGAAAAATTCCAGTTGCCGGTTTAAAAAATAAACAAGATTGCTCGCACCAAAATAACCTACGCCAAATTTCCCGTATAAAACAAAAAGAGTGGAGAGCTGCTTGCGCCAAAAGGAGGAAGAAATAAAAAAAAGGTATACAGTAGAGTTGCTGGCTAAACCTTTTACAAGCTATAGAGCAGTAGGTGGTTAACTTCAAATATTCGGGCGGAAAAGGAGGGAGTTGACCAGATTGGTTGAACCCTACCCTAAGTATCACGACTTTTGCGCCTGGTGACTTATGCGCCGCGACATTTGCGTCGCCATTATTTTAAAAAATAAAATAATAACTACAATTGCATCCCGTGTGGGTAAATGTCCAGCTCGCTGTCCACAACATCTCCGCAAAAGGCATTTCTGGAAAAGCATTTTCTGCATTTTACTCCTTTGCCTCTCTTGATTGATGACAGGTTGAATGATGGGTGATAGTTTGGCGTAAATTCTGTTTATTATGTAAAATTAATTTTGGAAAAAGAGAGCTTTTATTTACAACTTTTAAAATCAATTTTTAAATTTATTGTAAACATGAAACGGTTCTAAGTTTTAAAGGAATTCAAAATAATCTTCGGTTCGAGTCGAAAAGTGTCCATTTTTCGGGATTTTGTCTTGTCATTTCCTCTGATATCCCCTTAATCCCTATAAATCTTTTAATATTCCCGATTTGGTGGTTAGGAAGGATAATGAGTTAGTAAAGTTATCACAAAATCCAGACACTCCTTTCTTTTTCCATATTTTTTTACATAATAAACAGAATTTGCGCCAAACCGTAACCCATCATCCAACCTGTCACTAATCAGGAGAGGAAAAGGAGAAAAATGCAGAAATGCTTTTCGCAGAAATGCCTTTTGCGACATGTGGACAGCGAGCTGGACATTTACCCCCCGTGGGTTTAGAAAATTGCATCCAGTAGCTGATGAAACAAATAAGGAGTAAGCGGAAATATTCGAATGGATGTACAAGAATTTAAATTAAAAATACATGGGATCCGATATCCCAAATGATTTCTGATTTGCTGACTTTTTCGGATCAGGATATTTGAATCTGCTGACCCTATTCCGGCTGATTTTCTGCCCAAGTGAGGCAGAAAAAAGATCCGACAACCCCACTATAGTATAGGGTTGTTGGATCCGGATATCCGAAGATTTCCAACTATCCTACAACCCTACTATAGTGAGGTCTGGCTGTAGTTATTCATATATTTTTAATGATAGTGACGGCGCTAGCTTAAGTCGGCACATAGGTCGCGGTGCAAATGTTCACGGCCGCAAAAGTCACGATAACGATCCCAAATAATGATATATTAAACCTGAGGAAAAATTTCGATACAAAATACATAGCGCGATCCGCTTCAACGAACTGAGTGGATGTTGCATATATGAATTTTCAACCCAAAATTTGGCTTCCCCATATATAGGTTTCTAATTTTCGAGGATCTCGATTCACTGATATTTCCGTAGTGGTATCGTTAGACCCAGACAAATCGATGGTATGTGTTTGTATTGAAATTTTGTCTCCGGTATACCATTTTACAGGCAAAATTTTTTTAAAAATACCTTTCCACGTTTTAATTTCTCCATTTCATTGTTTAATTCAATATTTTTCTCTTTTAATGAAGAATTAGTTGTCGTCAACTATAAAAAAATATTTTTTATAAAAAATAAAAATTGAAATGATTTAAGGAGAAACTGATCTTTAAGAGCTTAATGGTTTATTCGGATATAGTTTAGTCGAGGGCCTGCACCGAACCGGGTCAAATGATATGTCAATCGATGCGTCTCGGCGAGCTGAGTCGAACGGTACCGTCTCCAGGTGCGGAAATGCCTGTGGACCGAGATATAGGCATAATTTTTTTCAGAATTATCAGATAGAGCCAATTTTGGTGTCATTCATCTCAGCTCGTCGAGCTCTTTCGAATGAGCTATTATTTGTATTTTCGAATTTTTGACCTTAAAATCCCCCTATGACTTTTGACCATTTCGAGCCCTATATCTCGATTCAAACTCGTCCAATCACAGCGATTTTGGTGTCATTCGACTCAGCTCGAGGAGCTCTTTCGAATGAGCTATTATTCAGAAAATCGATTTTTTCACCGCAAAAAAGTGCTTACTCCCCCCTATGGTTTTTCAAATTTCAGGGACCTATATCTTGGTCCACAGGTATTTCCGCACCTGGGGAGTGGTATCGTTCAAGTCATCTCGCCGAGACGAATCGATTGACATATCATTTACCCGGTTCGGTGCAGGCCCTCGACTAAACTACAGCCCCTTATTCTATCTACTTTTATATTTATTTGGTTTAAATCAAATTTTATATTAAATTTATATTTAAAAAATAAAATACCGTTTTATTTTGTTCTTCCAATAATAGTAATTTTTGCACATCTTTTGAATTACGTTCAAGCTAAAAAATAAAAAGTTTAACCTTAAACGTTTAGAGTTTAACCTCGGCAAATTTTGTTTGCAAATTTCCATTCAAAATAATTAATTCCTCAACTTCTTTCTTCTCTTCACTTAATTCTTTTTCTTTAATTTTAATAAAATCAAGAGCACATTTCTTGTCTGCTTCAAGATCAGCAACTTTATTTTCAAGATTGTTAACTTTATTTTTAATGTCCTAAATAAAAATAAATGTAAATTGAAATAACTTTAGGAAAAAAGGAGAAGGATGGGGATGACCTTAATTTCTACTTTTGCCGTTGGCCCACTCACTTTAGCCGGTGGCCCACTCAGAAACGGGTCAAATTACGTACCATTCAATTCGTTTCGGCGAGCTGAATTTCTGATCTTCGATTTTTAGGGCCAATATCTCGGTTAAATCAAGTCGGAATTCGTTATTTTGGTGTCATTCGACTTTCGAATGAGCTATTATTTGCATATTCTGAGTAAACCAGCGGCTAAAGTATATCCTAAGCTGCTTTAATTATTAAAATGTTTCAAATCCCCAAAAATTATTAGTTATCACATCGAGAAATTTGACATAATTCGTATTGCATGACAAGTGTTTATAAGCTCGTACCACAATTCATACTCGTACTTAGGTTCGAAATACGAGACCAAAAATAGGCCTGTACAGAGTACGAGTAAATCTGAACTTTATAAACACTGTCATGACTTGAAATATACTTAAAAATGAAATTACACAATAAAAGTACCTTAAGTTCCTTTTCATATTCGATTGAAAGCTCAATGGATTGCCCCCCCCCCCGTCCGCAATTTAGTTGAAGTACGGGGTAAATATGTGTGACAGGCAATAAAAAACAAAGATGCCTGAATTGAAGTAAGAGTGAATGGATGTGAACACAGGCAAATTTTTTAAACTTTTGGAAGGAAAAAATGACTGACCATTCCGCACTCCAACTAAATTGCGGACTGGGGGGGGGGGGAATAAGTACAAAAAATCTTAGATTTTTTGTTTTTTTCTCAAGTTAGCTCCCTTATCGAATTAAATCTTAAATTTTTTTAAATCTTTACCGCTTTAAGTTTACTTACCTCAAATACATATGCTGAAGTCCCATGAAAATAATCAAGATTACGAACATAATTTTCATTATATGACCATATCGGGTCAAATCCAGGAGCAAATGCGCTAAAATTTTAAACTGAGTTTTTAAATAAATAAATTTTTCACATATCAACTCGAAAGCCATACAAGGTTCCGGGTACAGGTGAATTCCCGTTTTTATCAGAAAATCCGCCAGCTGGCACATTAAAAATCTAAGAAAAAATTTAAGGGAAAAGTTAATTTTGAAAAATTATTAGAAAATATCCACCGGAAGACTTTCTTGTCCATACAAAGGACAAATTGGTAATGCAACTTTTGAATTTTTATGTTGTAACGATGAAAATAAGGATAAGTCTGGTGCAAAATATATAGGCAATGATACCTAAAAAATAAATAAAAATTAAAGAGCTAACAGAATTCCTTTAAATTCACCTCAATCAAAGTAAATCCTTCCTCAGCTCGAATTAAAATTGTTGGAATAAATTCATCCATTAATTTCCAATAAGTCTTAGTTATTGCTGAATGTTCATCCTTAATACGCACTTGGCGATACCTTAAGTTTAAACTGTTTCTATTAAGGTTTATTTAAATGTTTTGTTCAAATTAAAGTTTATTTAAATGTTTTGTTCAAATTAAAGTTTATTTAAATGTTTTGTTCAAATTAAAGTTTATTTAAATGTTTTGTTCAAATTAAAGTTTATTTAAATGTTTTGTTCAAATTAAAGTTTATTTAGATGTTTGTTTTAACAATTAGGGTTAATTATTGTAACTTGAATGTTTTGTTTAAATGTTTGCATTCAAGTTCATTTAAACAAATTCATTTAAACGTGTTTAAAAACATGTTTATTAAAAAACATGTTTTTGTTGTCTTCATGTTTTGATTGAATTAAACATGTTTAAAAACATTTCTAAAAACAAGTTTAAAACTTCACGTGTTTGTCAATGTTTACAAACATGTTTATTTAGATGCATGTTTTAGCGGTTTGTTTATGACTGTTCAAAACAACTAAAACATTGTTTTGTTTAGCTGTTAATGTTTAATTAAACATTGACAAACATTCCCATGTTTTAATTTAATTAAAATTTATTTTACTCACCAACGGCCAATTTCAAAATGTTCGTCTAATTTCCACGGATAAGTAGAGATGCATTGTGGTCGTTCTAGAATTTAAAAATTTATATTTAGGGTAATAACAAAATTCTTCGAAGCTCCGCTATTATAAAAGAGCACCTTTTTAAAACCCCGGAGTTATTTTACGTGAGAAAATTTAAAATCATGCGGGACCCACCCTCCCCGATCGTTCAGGCGCAACCCTTACCTAACACAAGTAGATGAGCTAATTCAAAACATTCATCTTTTGTAATACCAACACAAATTGCAATATTAGAGAGAAGCATTCCCTCATCACCAATATTCATTTTTAATAAAAAAATTTTTTAATTTAATCACCTTAAAATTTTGAAAAATAAAAATAATTTTTGGGATGCTTAAAAAAGACTCCGATTTTTGAGTTTTCTTAAGATTATGGTCGAATGTTACGGAAATAATTAGGTACATATTTACAAAAATCAATTTATGAAAAATTTCCTGAGAAAACTCAAAAAAAAGTGAAGTTAATAAATAATTATGAACTAGAGACAGGCAATCCATTTTTGTTACAACATCTCACTTAGACAAAATATGCAACACATTTTTGTAAAAAGAGAAAGTGTATTGAAAGGGGTGAATTTATGTGAATGATTTGGAAAGGGAAGAAGCGAAAGTCTTCTTTTAAAATAAAACATTTTTACCTATGTAATTCACATAACAGGCAAAAAAGAAGATTATACAAATACGCATTTATTAAGATGTAGGAGAAAAAACATTTTTTCAAAAGAAAAACAAAAATAATTTAAAAAAATATGTAAATAGTAGAAAAAGACAAAAATAGATTGCCGATTTGTGAAAAATCGTTATGCCAAAAAAACATAACGCCATAATTGTTTAAAATTTAAATAAAATCTTTGATCTGTTGTACGTTGGGACGAATCCGCGGGTTTTGTTCAAGGAGAGTTCGTAGAGATTTAGGGTCTGAAAACATTTTTAATTAAAAAAATTTGCGGACAAAAAATTTTTGCGGACAATTTTTGCGGGTTTTTCTTTTTGTGATTTTTAAGAAATTATTTATGTGGCACATGGGATTTTTAAAATTAAGGTCTGATCTCATTTTAAGATACCTCTCGGGGTTAAAAAATCGTCCCGTATAGTAAGGTTTGTCAGAAATTTCACGTATTGAAGAAATATTGTGTTTTCGGTCTATTAAAAAAAGGTTAGGTTTTTAAATAGGTTCCTGGTTTCGAGTAAGCTATAACATGCCGAGGTATATATTAAATCGTGGTGTTTCGCTTTGTCTATACAATTCTAATGAAAAATTTGTTTTGCGGACAAAAATTTTTTTGCGGACAGATTTTGCGGACATTTTTTTATTTTTCTTAAAAAGTTTTTTTTATTTTTTCAGTTAGAATTCCACCCATTCGACAGTTTAATACCTCTAAAATTGAAAGAAATTCCTTCAAGAAATTATGACTCAGCAAACAAAATTTGGAATTTTTTGTTGAAAGATTATTGAAGTGGCCAAAAATAAATTAAATCAATTACGTTCAAAAAATGTTTTGGCAAAATTTGATGAAATTCCTAGTGGAGTTAGAAAGGTTTTTTAAAATAATTTTTGTGAATAAATGAAATTTTGGATTTTTTTCATTAGAGGAAATTCCGTCTGCATATTTCAAAATTTTATTTGCGGACAAAGCTTTTTTTATTAAAAATTCGCAAAAATTTTGCGGACAATTCTTGCGGATAATTTTTGCTGACATTTGATATAAAAGTTTTTTACTTTAAAAAATCCGCAAAATATTTGCGGATTTTTACTAAATGAACATTTTAGTAAACAAGTCCGCAAAAAATATTCTGCTAGTAAACCCATATTTTTTATTTATTTGTTAAGGTGGTCGGATCAATTGGAATTTATGCTGAGTTGACTGTTATTTATGGCGTCGCAACTTTTAATGATTGCAAAAATGCTAGAGAGGAATTAATTAAAGAAGTGGCTGAAGCAAAAGAAGTCTTGAGGAAGACAGGAATTATTGAGTGATTTGGGGGTTGTTTAAGGTTTTTTTGATATTTTATTTTTAAAATATTTAATAATTTATAAATGTTAGTCAGAATATTTTTGATTTTTGGTATCGTTAATTAAACGATTTTTAATATTTTTTATCATTTGTTTTTTGCGGACAGATTTTGCAGATATTTTTTGCGGACCTTTTTTACAGACTTTATTGCGGTCAATTTTTGCAGACTTTTGCGAGCAATTTTTTGCTACAAATTGTTGCGGACATTATTCAGATAAAAATAGTCCGCAAAATTTGTACGCAAATTTTTTTTAATTTCTAAAGATATTCGGTTTAGATTTTTATAAATAAAAAATGACAGGCCAACAATGAAGACAAGTCCAACAGCAAAACAATTGCTGATTCAAAAACGACAAACTCTTCGCAGCCTGATCCGCTTTTCTGTGAATACAAGGATTGCAAGCTTCGTTTTGATATAAATGTGAGGTTTGTTTAGTTTATTTTTCTGGGGGTTTCTGATTGGTCCAGGTCCGAGTGCCCACTGCTATCTAACCACTTTAAGATACCCCTTTGGTCTGAAACGGACCTTACTTTATAATGAGGTTTTGTTTCAAATAGAAGGTCCAGAATCTTTTCCTGAAATTGGGAGTGGTAACATCGACTCAGCTCGTCGAGACGAATCGAATGACATGCCACGTCCCGAACTTTTATCTCCGGTACACTACACTACAGCCGAAAGAAAAAAAGGGGAAACAAACTTAACTATTGTTTTTTGAATTTGCCCTTTAACTTTGCTTGTTTTTCTAGGTTTGTTGGAAAGTTCAAATTGGCGATGCTATCAATTCTGATAAACTTCGTGAAATCTTTTTTGCATTTGGAGATTATTTCGGCAAAATCAATGGAGGATAATGATGGAAAGCCTAGAGGTTTTGGTTTTGTTGCTTTCATGGATCATGAGAGCGCGGCTCGATCGGTGGAGGAAATGAATGAAAAGGAAGTTCCTGGCCGCGCAGATTTACATTTTACTGTCTTGCCGTGCACAGAAGAAGAGTGAACGCCAATCTGAACTAACATCGCTATGAACAATTCAAGGCTGATCGTATTCGACGTTTGCAAGTTGTCAATCTTTATGTGAAGAATTTGGACGATACAGTTTTGGATGATGCTCTTCGTATACATTTGAATAACATGGAGCTATTGCTAGTGCTAAGGTTTTTTTAAAGATTTTTTGATTGAAAAATGATTTTTAAAAATTTTTTGTAGGTCATTTGTGACGAAAGTGGACGTTCTAAAGGATTTGGTTTTTTTGCTTTGAGAAACCTGACAATGCGACTAAAGCGGTTGTTGAAATCTATAATAAAATTATTGGGAACAAACTACTTTATGTTGCTTTGGCTCAGCGCAAGGAGGATCGTATGGCTCAACTTGCTAATCAATACATGCAACGCTTGGTTAGTTTTTGGATGTTCGAGGTTATATTTTCAATTTTAAGGCTACTATGCGTATGCAAAACCCTCCTGGAATTATGGAAACAATGTATGCACCTGCTAGTGGAGGATTCTTCCTCCTCAAGCTCTTCAAAATAAGCGCATGCACCATTTATACAATCTGCAAACATACCTGGAGCTCAATTCCGTGGAATACAGCTGCTTTGGAATGGCGGTTTTAGACGTTTGTCTTTCTTTGAGAATTGACAATAAACTTATTTTTAGACCAATGCAAGGCTACATGATGTGACAAATGCTGGGGGCCCTTATGCTAATCAGGTCGCTTGTGATTTTCGTGGCGGTGGTGGTATGGACGGACCTGGCGAATTTGTGGTCCGAAGACGATCAGCAACGTCAGCAGCAACAGTCTCGTATACTGGAAAGGCTGCTCAGCAAGGTCAAATGCGTTATCAGGTTTTTTCTATGTTTTTAGTCTCGTGTAGTATTTATAAAATTTGTTAAAGGGCCCGCCAAAAACCGTGCAATAGACTAATGCTGTCGCATATTCTTGCTATTCAAACCCGATGAATCAACAGCGTGGTCCGCAGTTGTCTGGAGGTGGAGCTGGACATAGAATGGCTGCTGCAAATCCAGAAAATTCTACAAACCAACTTTTGACTGTTAACAACGTTTGAGGTTTATCTAATAAAATGTTTTGATTGAAAAAATTATTTTTTAAATTTTTAGGTGCAGAAGCAAATTCTTGGTGAGCTGCTTCATCCAATGGTATCTCGTTATTGCCGCGGAGAAGATGATGGAAAGATCACTGGAATGATTTTGGAGAATGAGAATTCGAATTTTTGGTATTTATAAAAAAATTTTGGGTAAAAATTAAATTAGGCATCTGGTAAATTTTCGGGGTCGGAAGTTAAAGTAAATAAGTTCCTACAACTACTTAAGGACAATTTATTCATCGACAAAATATTTCTCAGGAAAAACAATCAACAAAACATTAATTAGAACAAAGAAGAAAATGTTTTTGAAAACAACCAACAAAAACAAACAACCTACAACAGTTAATAAATGTTTTAGTGTTCAAAAGAAATTAAATCTTGAGAATATAGAAAATTCAACAACAACAAGCAGTAGTACTTTAAAAATAAATAATGTTGAAGTTGTTGAAGAACAAAACAACAACAACGATGTTTATTCAAGCAATAATAGTTTAATGAATGAAACATTAGAAATTAGAATGAGTGAAAGTTCGTATGAAAATATTGGTAATGAACAACAAAAACAACAACAAATATTTTTTGGTAATGCTGTTGATCAATACGTATTTCAGAATCTGGGCCAGTATTTCTTTAATTTCATTTAATTTTTTTAATTGGAATAAAATTTCAATTTGATTTTATTTATAAAATAACTAGTTTTAAACATTATAATATCTTTTCTTGTAGCGATAACTTGGCGGCTAAATTATAAGCCATTTAATTTTCTCATTTTTATTTTAGAATGGTTTTTTGGAAGTCCAATAAGGAAAAACAATTGGAAGAGGAGTTGACAAAAATAAAGGAAGAATTCAACGAACATAAAGAATTTTCTGAACGTTTAGTTAAATCTTGTGAAGAGAAGAATGCTCAACTTTTAAGAGAAAATTCTCAAATTAAAGAAGTTCTTTTTTGATATTCTTAAATTTACGAATAATTCTATTTTAGTTATTAGACACGAAAACTGCATTAGACAACGCTGGCGATGTAATTATGAAAATGGAAGAAGAATTAAAATGTGCAAATGCTGATATGGCGATTAAAGAGGCTATGTTAATTGACAAACAAAATGAACAGGAGAAGAGCGACAATTTAATCGCTGATTTAAAGAAGAAAATTAAGCAACTAGAAGATGACAAATTAAAACTTTGTTATGATCAAGGAACTTCAGTTTGATTTTTAAATTAAGCATTTTATTAAAAATGAAAATTTAGGTTGGCACTAGCGGAACTGGCTATCAGCGTTTTACTACCGAACAGCTTGCCGCACTTAATTCGTTATATGAAGGGAACCAATGGACAAAAGATGACCTCAATAACTTGCTTGAAAATTATGGAATTAGAATGGAGGTTGTTTTTTTAATATTGCCTTGTCATTTTATTTCAGCGAGCTAAGGTTTGGCATAAGAATCAAAAAGCCAAGAATCGTAAAATTCAAGATGCTAAGGAAGACGAAGACAATAATCCCAAATGAGAAGTTGTTAATAGAGGAAATAATTTAAGAGGATTGAAATGTTGCCCACCCACCCTCTGCCCTCCACACACCCTCTTCCCAACTACCACCCGAACTATCCTGTTTTCGATTTGGAATTGTAAATTTTGTAAGTTGATGGGCGTCATGCTGCATGGGAATTTAAATTATTGTTTTTGGCAATTGTTTGACATTTTTATTTTTTGTTTTTATTAACACAAAAGTAAGATCCTTATTGGATCTGTTTTGACGAATAAATATTGCTATAGGTACAAATTTTTTTAGTGATTTAGCAATCAATACTATAATTATTTTCTTTTTATTTACAATTTGTTGATTCGGATTATAATTTATTCGAATTTTAAAAATAAGGTAATCGATTTCCCTTGACGACAATTACTGGTTCCTTTCACAAAATTTGAACTTTTACATGGTTTGGACCAGATTGATCGATTAGCAACTCGACCTCTGGATGTTATATGGCCTGGTGGAGATACTCTTGCTTTTTGGGGGTTTGACTGCAGAGCTTGAGAGGTTTGGAAAATATGATTTTTTGGGCGAAAACTTTTTTTCTATACCATTTTTAGTTCACAATTGCATGGACAGCCATCGCAGCAATCTTCTCAGCAGCAACATTTTTACAACAGCAACAATAATAGAAAAAGGAAGAGCGGCACCACCTCTGGGTTTAAGAGAGTTGGAAAAAGCTTTGGACTTGACTAAATTTTGTGAACAATTGAGACGTTTAATTGATCAGCCAATCAAGTTTGGTTTTAAATTATTTAAAGTGCCTAAAAGGTCTGAGAGACCCTCTCTCTAATAGACGCCCTCTCTCCAATAGATAGACGCCGGCTCTATTAGGACCCTACATAAGCGGGCCTTTTGTAGATAAACGACCTCTCTAATAGAAACTCATTCAAAATGATCCATTAAAAATGTAACCTCCTTCTCCAATAAAATCCCACCCAAGGGGCCCATTGAGAAATAGAAGCTCAGGGTTTTAATTAGAACTTTAATGTAATCTCTTTAATTTTTGTAGAATTCCAAGTACACTTTCAATGTGTCCTGCTAGTCTGTAGCTAGAAGTAGACGTTCCTGGAAAAGCAAGGAGGGATCTTCTCACAGTTAATGTATGTGGAGGTTTTTTTCTTCTTTATTCCTCTAAAAAGTCCACAAGTTTTATCCGCAAATTACTTAGAAAATTTTTATCAAAAGTCCACAAAGATTTTTGCATTTTTTTATGAAGTTTGCGGACTTTACATAAATCCGCAAAAAATTTTTCGGACTTTTATTAGAGAGCAAAATTCCAAGAAATTTGCGGACAGTTTTTTGCCGTCTAAAAATCTGCAAAAAATTTGCGGATTTTCCGCAAGTAATTTTTTATAAAAAACTGGCCTCCCTGTATTTAGATATTTCCTTGGGGCTGAAGAAATTCATACTTTAAAATTGGATATTTGGGCTGATGACACTGAAAAACAAAAGGAAGACAAAAAATGTTTTACAACGTAGAAGATGTTGATGAAGAAAGGAAATGGTTATTAGATTTATTGTTGGAGAAATCTGATGCGGATTTTGGTATTTTTTAAAATAATTATTTGCTTCTAGCGGAAATCGAATTTGTTAGAGATAAAAGAACTCTAGCGTCCGCAGTAGCTCTATCTATCACATTTGCGGACAAAAAATTTCTTTTGCGGATAAAATTTTAAAATTTAAAATTTTAGGGAATGCCTTTTGCTATTCGTCTTCATCGAGATTGGCTATTTAGCGTTGGGGATGATCGATCACTTCGTGTTTGGATAATGCATGGACTTCAAGTTTTATTTAAAATTTATTTAAAAAAATTTTTTTAATTTTAAGATTTTCGAAAATATGGGCATAGTGCACGTCTTTTGCTTCGGAAATTTTTGAACGAGCAAAACTGATTTTTAAGGATGGGATTGATTGGATTTGCGGATCCAAAGCTTTTGATTATCAATGTCCGCAAAAGTTTTCCGCAAGAAATTTGCGGATTTAGAAATTTTGATTAAAAGTCCGCAAAAATTTTGCGGACAATTCTTGCGGATAATTTTTGCTGACATTTGATATAAAAGCCTTTTACTTTAAAAAATCCGCAAAATATTTGCGGATTTTTACTAAATGAACATTTTAGTAAACAAGTCCGCAAAAATATTCCGCAATAAAACCCATATTTTTTATTTATTTTTAAGGTGGTCAGATCAATTAGAATTAGGGTTGCTCCCCGACCCCGACTAACCCCGACCCCGATCCCCGACATTTTTTGACCTAAAACCCCGACCCCGACATTCCCGACCCCGAAAACCCCGACCCCCGAAAGTTCGACCCCGAACCCCGAAAAATTTTTATGACCCCGACTCAAACTGCATAATTTACTAGTGATCGGTTAAATATATGAAGGAAAAGGGAAAGGAATATTTATATTTTCTTCTATTTCTTTTAGTTGGTCGGTGGTTGAGTGGGTAAGGCGACTGGCTTAATATTTTCATGGGTGTGGGCTCGAGTCCAGGGCGGGAAATGGGCTTAAAATATTTTTTCTTTTCAAAAATAAATGTTTTTAAACTTTAATTATTATTTTAGATTTTTAAATTTATTTTTTTTAATATTTTAAGCTTGAAAAAGCATTAAAAATTTAAACTTAGTCATGAATTTTGCAAAATTTTCGCCTGCGGCGCATAAAATTAAGAGTTCTTGCTTCATGAACAACTAAACTTCAATAAAATTTTTTGCCTGCGGTTCTGACAAGTGAATTTTTTCTCCTAAGGCATTACAAAATTCTCAAAATTTTCGCCTGCGGCCCTGAAAAGGGAAGAATCCTGGCTTAGGGATCTTCCAAAATTCTTAAAATTTTTGCCTGCAGTTTTTTTGCCTACCCCTTCAAATCCAAAATTCTGCCTATCCCTTCAAATCTCTCTAAATCCCATTATATCCATCTTAATCCTCTGATATGCCTTCAGATCCCCTCAATCCCTTTAAGAGGAAGAAATGAAGATATGTTGATTTTTTAATAAAAATGTTGATTTAGAACAGTAATGTTGGATAAAAATGCTGGATTTTGTAAATTTTGACTTCAACCCCGACCCCGACCCCGAACCCCGACATTATTTATAGCCCCGACCCCGACCCCGAACAATTTGAGCAACCCCGACCCCGACTCCGACTTTGTCAACCCCGAAAACCCCGACCCCCGACTTTTTCAACCCCGAAGGCTCGGGGAGCAACCCTAATTAGAATTTATGCAGTGTTGACTGTTATTTATGGCGTCGCAACTTTTAATGATTGCAAAAATGCTAGAGAGGAATTAATTAAAGAAGTGGCTGAAGCAAAAGAAGACTTGAGGAAGAGAGGAATTATTGAGTGATTTGGGGGTTTAAGGTTTTTTTGATATTTTATTTTTAAAATATTTAATAATTTATAAATGTTAGTTAGAATATTTTTGTTTTTTGGTATCGTTATTTAAACGATTTTTAATATTTTTTATCTGTTGTTTCTTGCTGACAAATTTTTGTGGAGATTTTTTGCGGACGGATTTTGCGGATATTTTTTGCGGACCTTTTTTGCAGACTTGCGTTCAATTTTTTGCTACAAATTGTTGCGGACATTATTCAAATAAAAATAGTCTTCAAAAATAGTCCGCAAATTTTTTTTAATTTCTAAAGATATTCGGTTTAGATTTTTATAAATAAAAAATGACAGGCCAACAATGAAGACAAGTCCAACAGCAAAACAATTGCTGATTCAAAAACGACAAACTCTTCGCAGCCTGATCCGCTTTTCTGTGAATACAAGGATTGCAAGTTCCGTTTTGATATAATTGTGAGGAGGTTTGTTTAGTTTATTTTTCTAGGGGTTTCTGATTGGTTCGGGTCCGAGTGCCCACTGCTACCTTAGCTCATCTTGTGTTAGGTAAGGTTGCGGCCGAAGCTCGGGGAGGGTGGGTCCCGCATGATTTTTAATTTTCTCACGTAAAATAACTCCAGGATTTTAAAAAGGGGCTCTTTTATAATAGCGGAGCTTCCGAAGAATTTGTTTGCTCATTATCCTAGATATAAATTTTTTAAATTTAGAGCGACCACAATGAACCAATACTTGTCCGTGGAATTTAGACGAACATTTTGATCTCAGCAGCAACATTTTTACAACAGCAACAATAATAGAAAAAGGAAGAGCGGCACCACCTTTGGGTTTAAGAGAGTTGGAAAAAGTTATTTTTCTAAAAAGTCCACAAGTTTTATCCGCAAATTACTTTAGAAAATTTTTATCAATTTTTATCAACTCTTGCTTTTTGGGGGTTTGACTGCAGAGCTTGAGAGGTTTGGAAAATATGATTTTTTGGGCGAAAACTTTTTTTCTATACCATTTTTAGTTCACAATTGCATGGACAGCCATCGCAGCAATCTTCTCAGCAGCAACATTTTTACAACAGCAACAATAATAGAAAAAGGAAGAGCGGCACCACCTCTGGGTTTAAGAGAGTTGGAAAAAGCTTTGGACTTGACTAAATTTTGTGAACAATTGAGACGTTTAATTGATCAGCCAATCAAGTTTGGTTTTAAATTATTTAAAGTGCCTAAAAGGTCTGAGAGACCCTCTCTCTAATAGACGCCCTCTCTCCAATAGATAGACGCCGGCTCTATTAGGACCCTACATAAGCGGGCCTTTTGTAGATAAACGACCTCTCTAATAGAAACTCATTCAAAATGATCCATTAAAAATGTAACCTCCTTCTCCAATAAAATCCCACCCAAGGGGCCCATTGAGAAATAGAAGCTCAGGGTTTTAATTAGAACTTTAATGTAATCTCTTTAATTTTTGTAGAATTCCAAGTACACTTTCAATGTGTCCTGCTAGTCTGTAGCTAGAAGTAGACGTTCCTGGAAAAGCAAGGAGGGATCTTCTCACAGTTAATGTATGTGGAGGTTTTTTTCTTCTTTATTTTTCTAAAAAGTCCACAAGTTTTATCGGCAAATTACTTTCGAAAATTTTTATCAAAAGTCCGTAAAAATTTTTGCGGATCTTTATTATGAAGTTTCGGACTATACATAAATTCGCAAAAAAATTTTCGGACTTTTGTTAGAGTTTGCGGAAAATAAAAAATCCGCAAAAATTTGCGGACAATTTTTTGCCGACTAAAAAAGTCCGTAAATAATTTGCGGATTTTCCGCAAGTACTCCCTGTAGATATTTCTTTGGGGCTGAAGAAATTCATACTTTAAATTTTTTATTAAAAAAATTTTTTTTGAAGGATATTTGGTCTGATGAACTGAAAAACAAAAGGAAGACAGAAAATCTTGACAACGTAGAAGATGTTGATGAAGAAAGGAAATGGTTATTAGATTTATTGTTGGAGGAATCTGATGCGGATTCTGGTATTTTTTAAAATAATTATTTGCTTCTAGCGGAAATCGAATTTGTTAGAGATAAAAGAACTCTAGCGTCCGCAGTAGCTCTATCTATCACATTTGCGGACAAAAAATTTCTTTTGCGGATAAAATTTTAAAATTTAAAATTTTAGGGAATGCCTTTTGCTATTCGTCTTCATCGAGATTGGCTATTTAGCGTTGGGGATGATCGATCACTTCGTGTTTGGATAATGCATGGACTTCAAGTTTTATTTAAAATTTATTTAAAAAAATTTTTTTAATTTTAAGATTTTCGAAAATATGGGCATAGTGCACGTCTTTTGCTTCGGAAATTTTTGAACGAGCAAAACTGATTTTTAAGGATGGGATTGATGAATATTTGTGTATTTGGAGATGGACAGGTTTTATAAAAATTTTTAGAATAATCTCGTTTATAATACTCTTTATAATACCCTCTATAAGACCCCCCAATTTTTAAATTGTCATTAAAATTTGCGGACATCCGCAAAAATTGTCCGCAAATATAGTATTTTTATGGGTTGCCACTGTCATATGGCCAATGTGTGAGGGAGCTACCTAACAAATAAGTGGTACTTCTATGTAAGATAAAGTCCACAAAGTTCCGCAAAAATTTGCGGACATCCGTAAAAATTGTCGCAAAAATTTTTATGGGTTGTAACTGTCAGGTGGCCTTTGTGTAGGGTGGTCACTGTCAGGTGGCCGCTTTGTGTTTAAAGCATTCTTCCAATTTTAAAAATCAATCGGAAATTCTTAATTTGGTATTTTCTAAAAAATTTTTTTAATTTTTGCGGACGTCAGCAAAAATTTGCAGACTTTTTTATTTCCTTTTTTTTAAAAGTTAATTTATCTCGGATGGGTGATTTGGTTAGTGTTTGTCTTCCTCTTTCTGAAGTTGATCATTGTTCCAGTTTTGAACCAAGGCATTTTTTTGAATTTGGCTCGACATAAATGCATTTGTTGTAACAAAAATGTAAAAATTCGAATCCTTCCTCAATGTTGTTTGCTCTGGACGAGTTAAGGTTTATATTTAAAAAATTTTTTGAAAGCCTGTAAAATATAAGGAATGATGTATAATTTACGGACTGAAATTTTTTTCGGCTTTTGTAAATAATTTGCGGACATTTTTTCTGGATTTTTTTGAAATATGCTAATTCTCCTCAAAAATGATTGTAAAATTGTCCGCAAATTTTTGGCTGCTTTAGCAGTCGGCAAAAACTTTTCCCGCAAAAAGTTGCGGATTTATGACAAAAAGTTTCGTCCGCAAATATTCTTCCGCAAAATTATCGATCTAATCTTGTCCTTTTTTAAGATTTATTTTTTAGACAATTTTCCGTCCATCAATTATGTTTTGATCACAAAAAATTCAATGGACTTTAGAAGTCAATGGACTTCAATTGCTAATTGATAATAAAGAATTTCGGCCAAATCTTTTTATCTATTCTCAAAAGGTTGAACTTGTTGCTGTTTGTTCACAAAATTCTTCAATTATTTTAAAAGGTTTATTAGACCTTAAATTTTTTAAATTTAAAAATTTTGAAAAATTTTTGTCCGCAAAAACTTACGGACAATCTTTGCGGATTTAAAAAATAATTTTTATGCCTAATGTACATCAAGTACATGAAATCTGGCAATCAGAGTTGTTAAAAAATTTCATCCGCAAAAATTTGCGGACAATATTTGCGGATTTAAGTTTTGTGGACAAATTTTTTTGCGGATTTTCTTCAAAATAATATTTAAAAATTTTTTTCCAGTTTTTTCAATTGGCCAACAACTTTTTGATTTTTTCTTTATTCGGTTTTAATGGAAATCTTGCTCAAATTCTTTGGATTAATTCAGATGATTTACTTGAAGATTGTAGTTATTTATTTTCTTTGGAATATACAGGGAAAGCGGTTTATTTTTGAAATTATTTTTCTTCTATTTTTTAAGAAAGAAAATTTTGTCGCAAAAAAATTTAGAAAAATTTTGTCCAAAATATTTTTACGGACAATAATATTTATTTGTGGACAAAATTTTTCCTTTTATATGTAATAAATATTTTATAAATGTATTTAAATTAGAGCTCGACCCCGAGCCGGGAACGGATTTTCCGTGCAGGTAGCCCGGAAACGTGAATTTTGATAAAATCCGGTTTTCCCGAGTTCCTTATCTTCTTCTAGTTCCTTATCTTCCTTATCTTCTTCGAGGTTTTTAGCCCGGAAGCCAGGCCCGGGTATGGAAATAGAAGAAGATAATGAAGGAGAAGAAGATAAGGAAGTAGAAGAAGATAAGAAGGATTAAACTATCTAATAGAGGAAAAAATTAATCGATAGATTAGAGAATATGGCAGAGATTTTACATCAACGAAGTGAGAATCACTCAAAAATTTATTAAAAGAAGAACAACGTGAAAAACAATTATTAATAGAGAGAGAAGGAATATTTGAATCTGTTATAGAAAATTTAGAGTCAGCTCTGAAAGCATCAAAAAAATTAAAAAATGAGGAACAAGAAGAAAACATAAAACTCTCTGCTCAAATAAAAGAATTACAACAACAGGTTGAAGATGAACGACGAGCACGTGAAGAACAAAGTGAAAATTTAATGATAACTAGAGAAGATAATAAGGAAGTAGAAGAAGACAAGGAAGTAGAAGAAGATAAGGATTAAACTTTCTAATAGAGGAAAAAATTAATTGATAGATTAGAGAATATGACTCAGATTTTACATCAACGAAGTGTAGAATCACTCAAAAATTCATTAAAAGAAGAACAACGTGAAAAACAATTATTAATAGAGAGAGAAGGAATATTTGAATCTGTTATATAAAATTTAGTGTCAGCTCTGAAAGCTTCAAAAGAATTAAATAATGGGAAACAAGAAGAAAACATAAAACTCTCTGCTCAAATAAAAGAATCACAACAACAGGTTGAAGATGAACGACGAGCACGTGAAGAACAAATTGAAAATTTAATGATAACTAGAGAAGATAATAAGGAAGTAGAAGAAGACAAGGAAGTAGAAGAAGATAAGAAGGATTAAACTATCTAATAGAGGAAAAAATTAATTGATAGATTAGAGAATATGACAGAGATTTTAGATCAACGAAGTGTAGAATCACTCAAAAATTTATTAAAAGAAGAACAACGTGAAAAACAATTACTAATAGAGAGAGAAGGAATATTTGAATCTGTTATAGAAAATTTAGAGTCAGCTCTGAAAGCATCAAAAGAATTAAATAATGGGAAACAAGAAGAAAACATAAAACTCTCTGCTCAAATAAAAGAATTACAACAACAGTTTGAAGATGAACGACGAGCACGTGAAGAACAAAGTGAAAATTTAATGATAACTAGAGAAGATAATAAGGAAGTCTAAGAAGACAAGGAAGTAGAAGAAGATAAGAAGGATTAAACTATCTAATAGAGGAAAAAATTAATTGATAGATTAGAGAATATGACAGAGATTTTACATCAACGAAGTGTAGAATCACTCAAAAATTTATTAAAAGAAGAACAACGTGAAAAACAATTATTAATAGAGAGAGAAGGAATATTTGAATCTGTTATAGAAAATTTAGAGTCAGCTCTGAAAGCATCAAAAGAATTAAATAATGGGAAACAAGAAGAAAACATAAAACTCTGCTCAAATAAAAGAATTACAACAACAGGTTGAAGATGAACGACGAGCACGTGAAGAACAAAGTGAAAATTTAATGATAACTAGAGAAGATAATAAGGAAGTAGAAGAAGACAAGGAAGTAGAAGAAGATAAGAAGGATTAAACTATCTAATAGAGGAAAAAATTAATTGATAGATTAGAGAATATGACAGAGATTTTATATCAACGAAGTGTAGAATCACTCAAAAATTTATTAAAAGAAGAACAACGTGAAAAACAATTATTAATAGAGAGAGAAGGAATATTTGAATCTGTTATAGAAAATTTAGAGTCAGCTCTGAAAGCATCAAAAGAATTAAATAATGGGAAACAAGAAGAAAACATAAAACTCTCTGCTCAAATAAAAGAATTACAACAACAGGTTGAAGATGAACGACGAGCACGTGAAGAACAAAGTGAAAATTTAATGATAACTAGAGAAGATAATAAGGAAGTAGAAGAAGACAAGGAAGTAGAAGAAGATAAGAAGGATTAAACTATCTAATAGAGGAAAAAATTAATTGATAGATTAGAGAATATGACAGAGATTTTACATCAACGAAGTGTAGAATCACTCAAAAATTTATTAAAAGAAGAACAACGTGAAAAACAAATTTAAATAAAGAAAGGGAATATTAGAATCTGCTATAGAAAATTTAAAGTCAGCTCTGAAAATATCAAAAAAATTAAAAAATGAGGAACAAGAAGAAAACATAAAACTCTCTGCTCAAATAAAAGAATTACAACAACAGGTTGAAGATGAACGACGAGCACGTGAAGAACAAAATGAAAATTTAATGATAACTAGAGAAGATAATAAGGAAGTAGAAGAAGACAAGGAAGTAGAAGAAGATAAGAAGGATTAAACTATCTAATAGAGGAAAAAATTAATTGATAGATTAGAGAATATGACAGAGATTTTACATCAACGAAGTGTAGAATCACTCAAAAATTTATTAAAAGAAGAACAACGTGAAAAACAAATTTAAATAAAGAAAGGGAATATTAGAATCTGCTATAGAAAATTTAAAGTCAGCTCTGAAAATATCAAAAAAATTAAAAAATGAGGAACAAGAAGAAAACATAAAACTCTCTGCTCAAATAAAAGAATTACAACAACAGGTTGAAGATGAACGACGAGCACGTGAAGAACAAAGTGAAAATTTAAGATAATAAGGAAGTAGAAGAAGACAAGGAAGTAGAAGAAGATAAGAAGGATTAAACTATCTAATAGAGGAAAAAATTAATTGATAGATTTGAGAATATGACAGAGATTTTACATCAACGAAGTGTAGAATCACTCAAAAATTTATTAAAAGAAGAACAACGTGAAAAACAATTATTAATAGAGAGAAGGAATATTTGAATCTGTTATAGAAAATTTAGAGTCAGCTCTGAAAGCATCAAAAGAATTAAATAATGGGAAACAAGAAGAAAACATAAAACTCTCTGCTCAAATAAAAGAATTACAACAACAGGTTGAAGATGAACGACGAGCACGTGAAGAACAAAGTGAAAATTTAATGATAACTAGAGAAGATAATAAGGAAGTAGAAGAAGACAAGGAAGTAGAAGAAGATAAGAAGGATTAAACTATCTAATAGAGGAAAAAATTAATTGATAGATTAGAGAATATGACAGAGATTTTACATCAACGAAGTGTAGAATCAATCAAAAATTTATTAAAAAAGAACAACGTGAAAAACAAATTTAAATAAAGAAAGAAGGAATATTAGAATCTGCTATAGAAAATTTAAAGTCAGCTCTGAAAATATCAAAAAAATTAAAAAATGAGGAACAAGAAGAAAACATAAAACTCTCTGCTCAAATAAAAGAATTACAACAACAGGTTGAAGATGAACGACGAGCACGTGAAGAACAAAGTGAAAATTTAAGGATGGCTAGAGAAGATAATAAGGAAGTAGAAGAAGACAAGGTAGTAGAAGAAGATAAGGATTAAACTTTCTAATAGAGGAAAAAATTAATTGATAGATTAGCAAAGAATCATAAAGCTATAGAAGTTAATAAGGATGTAGAAGAAGATCAACATTAATATCTCTACACACACCACATTGTGTGTAGAATCATAAAGCTAGAGAAGATATTTGTAGAGACACGCATTAGAGACATGTAGAGACAGTAGAGAGTAGAGTGTGTAGAGACAGTAATGTGTAGACAGTATGTGTAGAGACACCACATTAATATCTCTAAATCCTTTGAATACTTATAGATGAAGGTGACACCAAATTTTAATTATTTTTTATTCAAAATAGGAAAAATTTCAGCGAACAAGCTAAAATTTGA